GGACAAAGAGGGTTTGTCAGCTACAGAACATTTTTGGCACCCAAAAACTAAAGAAAAATTTGCCATGGTGAGATGGCAAGATCCTTTAACTGGATAGTGGAATGGGCCCTACCAGGTTTTAAATATGGAGATAAGGCCATGTTTGTGTTTTCCCATAAGATGCTGAAAATACTCATTGGTTACCTGAAGGAATGATGCACTTAGCGGAGGCTGCCAATGTTGCTGATCCTATCGATTCTGGTGATGAGTGCAACAGGGGAACCATACTGGGAAAATGTTTCTGATTCTCCTCTGCTGCATCCTGTTCATTGGGACGGTCTGGAAGTATTTGTACTCACTAACGACACTCACTTACTAGTGTTTCCTTGGACTGAGGAACAAGTGACTTCACAGCCGGTTAATTATTCTGGCATCAGTACGGCTGTTCGTATATGCTTTGTAAAGAATGCTACTCAAGAGGGATGTGTCATCATTACATCACAAATATGGACTACCAATGTCCATAATATGGACTACTCAACAAAGTGTCATGATGGTTATGTCCTAGTTTGAAGTGATTAATAGTTCTCAAGTTTTATATCCACCAAGTGTCAGACCATGTTCATTGGATTCTGGTGGTTTATTAGATCATATACATATATATATATATATGTCTATTAATTAGAAGCATTGTTATTATAACATACCTGTCCAATTCTCTATTAGTAATGTCACCAAGATAATTAGCTGGTCAGAGGATCAACTGGATTTAGGCAACAAAGAGCTTGCTTCAGGAATTTGATTATTCCTAAGAATTATATTCAGAGGTATTTGTGGAAAGTGGCTGCAGTAATGTATCCTCTTATACTGTCTACTGATACAAAGATTAATAACACTAGTTACAGAGATCATTTGAAGAAGAACGCCTCTGTTTGCTTGACTTACACTTATGTATTTTAACAGGTTATGCCAAAATAAAAAATATGCCTGTACACTTTAACATTTCTTGCTTGAATTGTAATCTTTCCAATTGCTTATCAATTGTTGCTAAAGGAACTTCAGTTCTGATTTTACATCAACCAACCTTCATTACAATTCCTGTAAATATATCAGCTGCTAGGTATTCACATAAAAGTTTACAGGTAATGGAAGAATTAGAGAGAGCTCTGAGAACTAAACATATAGAAGAATTTTTGCTTTGATTGCTTTGATAGCTAAAGCTACAACATCTGCTATTTCTTTGACACAAGAAATACAAAAAGCAAGTTATGTTAATGATTTATCTCATTTGCTGGGTGTACGACATCACACCAACTTGTCTCTAGACTTGGCCTGGTTACACCAAGAAGTAGTATTCATGCAAGAGGCTAAACTTTTAAATTTTGATGTTGCTAAAGCAGCTAATTCTTTTCTGGAATAATTTTGTTATGTATTTCAATTTAGCATCCTTTTATTTCTATGATAGGAGGAACGTTTGCTTTGGAGTTATACTCATGATGTTGCTTTTCTGCTGTGCTTTGAAGTTTTTCATTCCCAGGCTTCGGTCTGTGAAGGCAGAAGTTCATAAGCTATGGGCTTCAACACTCTGTTCATTCCCCCTTTAAGCAGGAACAGAGAGCCAAGGATAGGTAAGCTCTCTCTGAGGAATATTCAACCTAATTCAGGGCATGAATGATGGAATTCATGTACCAATGATGGGTAAGATTACATCTTTCAACAGAGACAACCTAAGACAGGCACAGTCATCTACTCCATAGCTATTAAGCTATGGTCTCTTTTTTTCTTTTTTTTTAAACGTCTGTTCACAATTTTTTAATTTAATTTTTATTAATTACAGTTTATTCACTTTGTATTGCCCCTGTAGCTCCCTCCCTCCTCCCCTCCCAGTCTCACCCTCTCTCCCTCTTCTCCACCCATGCCTTTCCCCCAGTCCACTGATAGGGGAGGGTCTTCCTCCTCTTCCTACTGATCCTAGTCTATCAGGTTTCATCAGGAGGGGCTGCATTGTCTTCCTCTGTGGCCTGGTAAGGCTGCTCCCCCTCAGAGGGAGGTGATCAAAGAGCAGGCCAATCAGTTTATGTCAGAGACAGTCACTGTTCCCATTACTATGGAATCCACTTGGACACTGAACTATCATGGGCAACATCTGTGCAGGGGTTCTAGGTTATCTTCATGCCTGGTACTTGGTTGGAGTATCAGTCTCAGAAAAGACCTCTGTGCCCAGAATTTTTGGTTCTGTTGCTTTCCTTGTGGAGCTCCTGTCTTCTCCAGGTCTTTCTATTTCCCACTTCTTTCATAAGATTCCATGCACTCTACCCAAAAGTTGGCCATAAGTCTCAGCATCTGCTTTGATACCATGCAGGGTAGAGCCTTTCAGAGGCCCTCTGTGGCAGTTTCCTGTACTGTTTCCTGTTTTATCCTTCTTCTGATGTCCATCTTCTTTATCTTTTTGAATGGGGATTGAACATCTTAGCTAGAGTCCTCCTTCTTGATTAGTTTCTTTAGGTGTACAGATTTTAGTAAGTTCATACTATATCATATGTCTAATATACACTTATGAGTAAGTATATACCCTGCGTGTCTTTCTGCTTTTGTGATATCTCACTCAGGACGATATTCATTCTCCAGTTCCCACCATTTACCTGCAAATTTCATGATTTCCTTGTTTTTTTATTACTGAGTAATATTCCATAGTGTAGATGTACCACAATTTCTGTATCCATTCCTCAGTTGAGGAGCATTTGGGTTTTTCCAGCTCCTGGCTTTTACAAATAAAGCTGCTACAAACATGGTTGAGCAAGTGTCCTTGTTGTATAATAGAGCTTCTTTTGGATGTATGCTTAGGAGTGGTATAGCTGGATCTTGAGTAAGTGCTATTCCTAATTGTCTGAGAAAGCGCCAGATTGATTTCCAGGGTGGTTGTGAAAGTTTACATTCCCACCAGCAGTGAAGGAGGGTTCCCCTTTCTCCACATCCTCTCCAGCATGTATTGTCACTTGAGTTTTTGGTCTTGGCCATTCTGATGGGTGTAAGGTGAAATATCAGCACTGTTTTGATTTGCATTTCCCTGATGACTAAAGAAGTTGAGTATTATTTTAAGTGTTTCTCTGCCATTCTATATTCCTCTCTGTTTAGCTGTATTCACCTTTTTTAAATTGGATTACTTGATTTGTTGCTGTTTAATTTCTTGATTTCTTTATATATACTGGCTATTAGCCCTCTGTCAGATAGAGGGTTGGTGAAGACCCTTTCCCAGTCTATAGGCAGTAGTTTTGTTCTGACAAAAAGTGTCTTTTGCTTTGCAGAAGCTTTTCAGTTTCATGAGGTCCCATTTATTGATTGTTGCTCTTAGAGTCTGTGCTGTTGGTGTTCTGTTCAAGAAGTTGTCTCCTGTGCCAATGCGTTCAAAGCTCTTCCTCACTTTTTCTTCTAACGGGTTTATTGTGTCTGATTTTATATTGAGGTCTTTGATCCACTTGGACTTTAGTTTTGTGCAGGGTGATAAGTATGGATCTATTTGCATTTTTCTATATGTAGATATCCAGTTAGACCAGCACAATTTGTTGAAGATGCTATCTGTTTTCCCTTCTATGGTTTTGGCATCTTTGTCAAAGATCAGGTGTCCATAAGTGTGTGGATTTATTTCAGGGTCTTCTCCTCAATTCTATTGATCCACCAGTCAGTTTCTATGCCAGTACCATGCAGTTTTTAGTATTGTTGTTCTATAGTACAGCTTAATATCAGGAATGGAGATACCTCCAGAAAATCTTTTATTGTAAAAGACTGTCTTTTTAAAAATATAAGAAAAGGTGAAATGTGGGAATCAAAAGTTCTTTCTCAACTCTGAAGAGCTGCTTGCCTGGCTACTTTGTTTTGTTAGATTATTCAGTGAAAATATGTTTTATTCTTTACCTTGAGACAGAAAAAAGTAAGAGGTTTTGCCAAGTTTCTTTAACTTTTCTGTGAGACCTGGACCATGTCTGCCAGACAGGAATGTGGTCTTTGGAAACAAGCTTAACTGTTTCATGAACCCTGCTGTCCTTGGACCATTGTGAACCGTGTTTGTTTTGTCTTTAAAAAGGAATTGGAAAATAAACTCGGGTGTTTTTTTTTTTTTTTTTTTT